GGTCTGGAGGTATATATTGTCACCAAAATTTGAAATAATTGTTGTAAACTGTATGTGTAGATCAGGCCTGTAACTATATTGATTTAAGCCAGATTTAAATCAATTTAAGTGTCCCGATATAAGGTTTTTCCATCAGATTAAAACAGATTTGAAAATGAAGGTTGGTTACTTATCGCCGGAGTTCTTCGAGAAGGCTCTGCATATTCCCAACTTATGGGTACTGCGCCGCATTGTGGTAGAGCCTTCTTTAGCAGTGTCAGCTAGAGCACGGTCATGCACCTCTCCCCTTCCCTCAGCATCACCAATTTTCTGAGGGAGAGGCTATATAAGAGGGAGAGTGCCCTCACCACATCAGAGCCAGAGACATAGAACAAGGACTCTGACAAAAAGGGGAAGGCAGGTGGGTAGTGTGAACATGCAGAGCAATCTCTAACAACTCTGGTTAGAAGTAAGTAGCTTTCATTTCTTCAAGTGGCTCTGCACATTCCCACTTATGGGACAGACTGATAAGCAGTGCTGAAAATTAACCTGGAAGTGGGAACAGAGGCCTAACTGAATAAGGGTTGAAGCAGTGCTTTACCAAATCCAGTGCTTTACCAAATCTGCCCTACAGGACAAGTCCAAAGTACAGTGCTTAGCAAAGATGTGCGCCAAAGTCCAGATTGCAGCTCTGCAAATTTCAGCAACTGGCAGCTGCCTAAGACAAGTGAAGAAAGTAGCTACCGCTCTAGTGGAATGTGGTAGAATCGAAGCAGGTACAGGAGATTTTGTTGGCGTTTAACATTCAGCAATACACTGTTTAATCCATCAAGAGCGTCTGGGAAGAAACCGTACAACCCATGTAGTTTTAAGCATAAAACACAATCTAGACCATTTATTAAAACGTTTAGCTCTACCTAAACAACAAGTGAGGACTCTTCTAGCATCCAAAGTCTGGAGAACAGATTCCCCCTTATTAGAATTATTTTTCCCTTTTTTTTCAGGGGGGGGTGGGGGGAAGGGGGAAGGAGAGAGAGAAGAGGTGGGCAACAAATTAATTGTCTGATTGATGTGAAATTCAGATACTACCTTAGGTAAGAACTTGTCCCTATGTCTCACTTTCTTTGGTGCTGCAACAGTTAGAACCAAAGGCTCCGACAGCCCCAGTTCTGACACACCACTCAAATCCATCTTCTGGAACTGAAAGTGGAAGTGGGAACTGACCCTGGTCTCATGGCCGCAGGGGTTCTGTCAGGATTGGATAATTGCGAAGCAGGAGGTACTGCACCAGTGAGCATAGACAAACTCTCTCTCAACATCTCTTCTGAAACCAGGCCAGTTGGATATGACCATGTGGCCCTTGGTTTGGATTCATGTAGCCTCAAGGGCTTGACTGAGGGAGCTGCAGGAATTAGACCTGGCTCTGACAGAGTTGCAGCCTCTTGGAACCCTGCAGTCACTTAGAGCTGCTGAAAGCGCCAGGAGCCAAGACTGCTCAGTTAGACCTTCAATAAGCGTACTGATCAGATCCAGAGGATCTAGATTCAAGAGCTTCTTTGAGAAGGAGGATCTACAAACGATTCTCCCTATTCTTGTGGGCTCTGGGAGTAAAGGTCCAGAAAATCAAACACCCAGAAGGTGAGTGGCCTGCTGCCAGGCAGGAAACGCATCTTTTGAATCCCGGCCTTCTCCACTTCTTTGATTCGGACATAACCCAGAATTGACAGGGGAAAAAATAATCGCTAACGCTAACTATCCTAACCATAAAAAGGGCTCCAACTCCAAAGAGACTGGAGATGTTTACATCCATCCAGGCATAGGGTCAGATGGAACTGAGGGCACTCCAGCCCCTATACAAGTCTCGCTCTCAGAACATCAGTGACACTGGACAGGAGGGGCAGAGAGCGCAAGAGTGCTCTAGCTGACCCTGCTAGGTGGTTCTGCTGCTAGGTACCACAAGGCAGCATAGTACCCGTAAGTGGGAATATGCAGAGCTGCTCGAAGAAGCAACCTTTTAATTAAACAAGTTCAACTTATAATTAAAGCCCGAAGAGAACGAAAAATGGACTGGATCAACACGCAAAGCAATAATGTTCGCCCAGGAGTCGACGGGAGAGCGCTCGGGGGTCGACTAGACGCGATAAATCAATCCCTGCTGGATCTGTGCAACAATAAAACAGATATAGCTCCCACACTCATGTACCACTTCTCCAGGAAAGACACTCATCTTGACATCTACTTTTCAGTGTTAGCATTCCACTTACAAGAACATTTGGGAAACTGCAATTCTAGACCAACTTTGCTGTTTGATTCCCCCACAATTATCACCTGTTTCAAGTGGAAACCATTAAAGCCTGTCACTAAACCAGACCTTCCAAATGTCACAACAAAATGAAGTATGTAACACAGCCTGCATTTCTCCAGGAAACACTGCTGTACATTGTCCAGTTATAAGAACAATTATCCAGGACACAAAGGGTGCTGCTGTAAGTGGTGCCTGCTGTATTCCTATGCTTTCCGTCGTCTTCACCTTGACCCAGTTAAGCTGTTTTCAAATACACTGACATTGGGGCTGGGTGGAAAGAATATGTTATTCACCCACCTGTCGAAACAGTCCAACTTGAAAGAGTTTTGAGATTTTATTTTTTGAAATTAAGTACCATAAGAATATACAGCTCTCAAAGTCAAGCCCTGAACAAGAGCAGGCTACTGTGTTCAACAGAAGATAAGCACAGTCCTCCTGCTAACATACTTTGGAGGAACTCAGTCAAAAAAAGACAAACACCAGAGTCCCTGTTTCAAGTAAAGCAGTTCACCTTTGACTGCAACTAGAGCTATGGAAATCTTTAATTTAAAATTGGATACATCTCTGCCTCTCCTGCAACACATCAGTAACATATTGGGAATCAGCATGAAGTCTGTTTAATAAAATATCTATATATGTCCTAGTAATTTCAATTGGAAACTGTTCTTCACTACTTGGCTTAGCGTGGAGAGACTTCAAATATTTCATAAAAAATTTGCTCTGTTTAAAAACAAACAAACAAACAAAAAACCACACAACACCAATTGCTCCATATAGAGTACTTACCATTTTCTTTTTGAAAAACAGTCTTCAGCTTTGGAACTTTACTGAAATCAACACGCTTATACTCTTCATCTTCTTTCACTTCTATATCTGGTTTCCCTGAAATAATGCCAAAGATGCCATATCAAAGCCAACTCAATCAGTTTTTGGCATTTTAGCATGAAAAGTTGCACGCTGATGCATGTGACGTTTTACCAGGTTATTTTTGTTATGATTTATCCAAAATGTAGCCCCTAAAACAGAACTCCCCAAACTGTGGGGCACACCCACCTAGGGGGACATAGTGGGTCCAGCCCAGCCCCCACAAGGGGAGGGGAGGAGCACTATCCATCCCCTCTCTGCTCTGGCCCTATTCCCAACCCCGGCACTAGACCCACCCCCAGCCTCTGCTCCCTTACCCCTGTCCAAGGTTCCCCCCCCACCACACACACACACGAGCAGTGTTCCTGCTCCCAGCCCCGAGGGGGTGAGGGGGGCAGGAGACAGACGGGGTAAGGGTAAGCACAATCCTGAAAAGTTGGGGGACCACTGACCCACGGTATTCTGCAATATTTATTCTGTAACATTTTATAGAAATAATATGTCAGGATGTCTAAAAATTGAATGCGACTTAATTTAGCTGTGAAGAGAGACAAAAATTGACAAGCTTGCTCCTTTAGCCCATTGATCCACAACAGGTTTATTGTTAAGACAAGACCTTTAGCAATTCATCCTCCAAGGCTGGTGGAGAGAAGAGGGGAGAAAAAAAAAAAAAAAAAAAATCACAGATCAATTAGGGGTATTAAAATAGTAAAAAAACAAACAAAAGGAAATGAATTACAAGCCACATTAGCTAGCACTTATTCTATGTTGTAACACTCATGCAAGTTACAAGAGAAGTATGGATAACTCCAGTACCTCAGTAAAACAAATGGAAAAAATGACCATAAACTTTCACCAACTGTGTTTGCCAGAAAGCAAGCTAAGTTTAAAAAAA